CTCCTGGGCTCAAGTGAGTCTCCTGCCTCAGCCTCCCAAGTAGCTGGGACCACAGGCACCCACCACAACGCCCGGCTATTTTTTGGTTGCAGCCATCGTTGTTTGGCGGGCCCAGGCTGGATTCGAACCCGCCACCTTAGGTGTATGTGGCTGGTGCCTTAGCCACTTGAGCTACAGGCGCCGAGCCAAGAAATATATATATATATTTTAAAGAAGATAACAAATATGCCAGGCACAGTGACTAACACCTGTAATCCTAGCACTCTGGGAGGCCAAGGCAGGTGGATCACTTCAGTTCACAAGTTAGAGACCAGCCTCAGCAAGAGTGAAACCCTGTCTCTAAAAAAAAATGCCAGGTGTTATGGGTGTCTGCAGTCCCAGCTACTTGGGAGGCTGAGTTACAAGAGAATCGCTTGAACCCAAGAGTGAGAAGAGGGTGAGAGCTATGTCTCAATGGCACTCTACCAAGGGCAACAAAGTAAGACTTGGTCTCAAAATAAAGAGAATTAAAAAAGGTTGGGCGGCACCTGTAGCTCAAAGGAGTAGGATGCCCAGCTCCATATGCCAGAGGTGGCGAGTTCAAACCCAGCCCCAGCCAAAAACCACACACACACAAAAAAGATAACATACATCATAATATTTCACCCATTTAATATTTTATATCTCTAAAGAACAAAACTTTTTTCTACATATTATAGCCAATAAAAATTAATAATCCCTGAATATCATCTAATACCCTGTTTATTCAAAATTCATAATTGTTCAAATATGTTTTTAGGGATTTTTTTGTGAGACAAGATCTTGCTCTGTTACCTGGGCTAGATCACAGTGAGGTGTCATAGCTCATTACAACCTGAAACTCCTGGACTTCAGCCATCTTCCCATCTCTGGCTCCTGAGTAGCTAAGGCTACAAGCGTGTTCCACTAGGCCTGGTTAGTTTTTCTGTTTTTAATAGAGACAACACCTTGCTTTTGCTCAGGTTGGTCTGGAACTCCCGAGCTCAAGGGGTCCTCAGTTCACCCTCCCAGAGTGCTAGGATGACAGATGAGCTCCCGAGCCCAGCTAGGAATAGATGTTGAGTGCATGAGTTTCTTTTTTTTTTTTTT